TTCCGATCAGCTCATCCAAATACGAATATATCTCTGTGGAATGTGGATGGGACCTATCACCCATGACGAAAGAGTGGACTTGATTCTTCTGTTGGATCCAAGATTGACCAGCCACTTTGTTAATTCCTCTTTGTTGCATCAATCTTCTCATACCAGCCGCTTCTTCCCATCTATGATTCGCAGCACACATGTTCGACAACAAAACATAAGATCCCTCATCAAACGGTTCGAGTTGAAGTAGTCTTTCAGAAACCCACTTTCCCAGCTCGAAATTTTTGTGAAGTCGGCAAGAAGATAGAAATGACTTCCATACTGAACTCAACTGAGAGATACCATTCTTATGAATGAACTCTTTAATCTCATCCAAGCGACCTGCTCGGCCATAAAGATCAACCATACAAGTGAAGTGCTCAGCTCCGGGCTTGATGCCATAAACTTCTTTCATCAAGCTGAAATATTTGCAGCCTTCTTCAAGAAGCCCGGCATGGCTGCATGCATTTAAAACCACCACGAAAGAAACCTCATTCGGCTTAATTCCCTCTTGTATCATGAGTATAAAAAGCTGAACAGCCTCCTTCCCTTGCCCATGTAAAGCTAAAGCGGAAATCATTGAAGTCCACAGCACAACATTAAGATCACAAGTCTGTTTAAAAATCATCCAAGCATCATTTAGGCTCCCGCATTTAGCATACATATCAATGTATGATGAACCTAAGTGAACATCTGTTTTGTACCCAATTTTCTGAATGTGTGCATGGATGTGTTGACCGAGAAGCAAAATCCCAACGTTAGCACATGCAGAAACAATACTTGTCACAGAGAATCTATCCACCATAATCTGTTCACGAACCATAGAACAAAAAGTTAGCAAAGCATATTCGTACTCACCATTACGAACATACCCAGAAACCATTGAACTCCATGATACAACCTCTGTCTTTGTCTCATGACAAGTAAACTTAGAATTTGTTCTCAAAGGCAATGTTTTGAATACGAGTGATGCCTTTTCCATTTTCCCACATTTGGAATACATATCTATTAATGAAGTCCGAAGAAATCCATCATTTTGAATACCAAACCTTAGAACGCAGCCATGAATTTGTCTCCCCAGTTCAAGAACATACAAAGATGAAGCCAAAACCAGAGCTACTGAGAAAGTGACTTTGTCAAATGGAGGTCCAATTTCCACCATCTCAGAAAGTAGCGCCAATGCATATGTTTCATGCCCATTTCGCATTAGCCCATATATGATTGTATTCCAGCTAGCAACGTCTTTGAAGGGCAGTCTTCTGAACAAATCAAGAGCCTTCTCCATATCCCCAGTATGCATATATGCACCCATCATTACATTCCAAGTAACTGTGTCTCTCTCTTTCATAGTTTCAAAAAACTTTTCTGCGTAATCAAAGGCGCCACATTTTACATAAACATCAAGGATAGAGTTCTCTAATACCACATCCAAGTCAATCCCATTGCTTAAAATCCATCCATGAATCCCCTTACCCATGCGAAAATCGCTTAAACTAGAACAACTCTTTAAAACACTAGATAGTGTAAATTGGTTCGGACAAACACGCTCAATTTGCATCCGTTTAAAAAGTTCCAGCACCGTTCTACAATAGCCAATTCGAGCAAACCCGGATATGAGTATAGTCCAGGACCGGACATCCCTGTCAGGGCTTTCGCCAAACAGCTTGTGTGCATAGTCCAACTTATTAGATTTCACATACAAGCTGGTGACATAATTCCTGACATCCAAATTGTCCAAAGAACCATTCTTGACCGATTTGGCGTGAAGGGTATCAGGCAGTGATTCGTTTGGCAAATCACCCACCGCACGAGATTGGTACCACCCGTAGTGTTGGAATCTCTGATACTCAAAATGGTGGTTGGTGTTTGTAACATAAGTGGGCTTCAAAACTGAACTGGAGCTGATGTATTTGGTGTTGAGACAAGTCCATCTCATTTTAGCTCCTAATTCCGATGGAACGATGAGTTTGACATGCTATGAGGTCAGCTTGGGAAATGAATGATGAAAGGTTGAGGGTTTTGGTTATTTGCCAGGTAGGACACGAAACAGAAGCAAAGGCATCTGAATTCTCAATTGCTTTAATAATGCCAGTGTCAATTGGCCGTCGTCGGTTGTTCCCACCGTAAGTTAACGACTTAGGTGAGTGTAAAAATTGATCGAAGAAATCAATCTCACAAACCCTCATGAATGAATGAACTCGCTCTCTTTCTGCCAAATGAATTAAACCCGCTCCACTGTTCGCTAATTGAATGGTAACATTAAACTCATTCTAGGTATTCTTTTGCCTTGGTAGTATGCATTTGGCATAACAATGGGTCGATATAAATGATTTCACAAACTTTCTTGTTTCTTTTCAAAAGGCTACAATGCAAGTGGAGTGGGGAGGAAAGCAATCAATATCTCCATATACTACATATTACAAACGAATAAGAATGATCTGTTATAAACGAGTATCATACTCTACCATGTGAAGGATTCCCAAGAAGAAGAAAAAAATGAAAAGGGAAGCAGAAAACGCAAAAACAAAATGTGTAGAGCATTTGAAAGCCCTTAAAGAATCAGGTTAGCCTAGAGTATATCATACAGTTCACTCTTATAGAGGAGGATAAAAATATGATGATACGGAGAAGCATAGAAATAGCAAGCCTCCAACTGTAGCAACAGTGCGTTGGGAGATTTTGGATGCCAGCATGCTCCCTCCCACCACAGCCACAGACGTGCAGATGGTGTGCCCTAGTGTCGCACCTACCGCTACTCCAAGTGCATTCTTGTGGGTTGCCAGCTGCGAGGTCAAAAGGAAGCAACAAATAAATTCATCTCATTCCCGCAGAAAAAGTCACAAAATATAACATGAACTATGACAACAGGGGAGAGAGGAATGTTTTCTCTTACAGCAATTGTCGCTATTTGGCTACGATCTCCCCACTCAGCTAAAAACGTTAGAATGAATGACTGCAACAGCAAACAGAATAAATTAGTTATGGAGGTTATATCACAAGACTTCAAAAGTACAGCTAAAAGTTCTAAGTTGTAGGAGTTTATTCTCAATATGACTAGCTATAGAATAAGATATGGATCATATTTGCTAAAACTACAAGCATGATGTGCATGCAGCATATGGTGCTACAAGTAAAGGTCCTGACTAAATCTATAATTAACAAAAAGAAAAGAAACCAAATCATTAAAATAAATACAATGCAACAGTCATACCTCCAAAAAGATTGGTGTACAAAATCTGGAAAAGAAACGGCGGAAGGTTGTCTTCCCCTGTCCAGACTCAAGTTTCTCTTCTACCTGGATAAATTGGGTGTCAACCAGATTTAAACAATTAAAACACCAAATTAGACTAATCGAGGGACAACATTCAAGTTGAAAGCACATATATGCTATTGGCCCATCATACAAAAAAGTTATCAGACATCAGGAATAATATAGGCAATCAATATAGAACAACAAATATGAATTCTAAGAGATGAAATCAACTTCTCCTAAACACCTAGTGCTTTCACATTCCTCAGCATGAATAACAGAGGTGAAGGAGAATAAGCATATCTGATACCTACATGGTTAACCCAACCAGAAAACAATTACACTAATAAGTTCAAAAGATAAGACGACAATTCACCCAATTTCATTACTAATGCAGGCATCAAACATTGTTTGTTAGTTTACCATCTGTCTCTCTATAGATTATAAATTAACACGAATCAGGAAAAGGCTAATAATGTGCAAACATATCATAAACGAGTCAAAAACTTTGACAGAATATGAAATTGTTATTTTTTGAAATAAAAAAAA